GGTCGTCCTTGGAGCCGCCAGCCCTCCACACGGCCAGCGCTCTGAGGACGACCTCCTGCCGCAGCGTCCGGAACGCTATGGCGGAAGGGTCACTGAAAGTGCACCTCAACGTTTTGTGGTGCACTTTCGGCAACATATAAAAGGAGCACTATTTTAGCGCTCCTTTCCAGGGGCGCCGACGGTGCGCCGCTGGATCGAGGCATGGGGATGCCTTGGTCCCGTGGCATATCTTCCCAGGAGGGCCCACGGCCACCCGTCTGCTTAGGCCCTCTGTCTCATTCACCCAAGATCACACTTGGATTTCTATGGCCAAGCAGGGAATTGAACTCTGGTTTCCAGAGTCATGGTCTAATGCTCAAACCACAGCACCATGCCGATTCTCAATGGATATGCTCTGATAAATTTGGGTGCAGTAAAACTATCACAAGATTTCAAAGGGCACAGAACTTCATGCCTGAATTATGTGACCCATAGTTGGGGTTGCCAGGTTTTCCAAACAACAATAGAGAATAGTACTGGTTGCTAGGCCAACTCAAGACTGGCCAGGGTGCATGAGGCAAGCCCATATAAGGCCTGGCTCTCATAAGGTTAGATATGTCTCAGAAAAGACTATCCTCTTGCAAATTTGAGGTATGCTCAGAGTTTGGTCTATTGTGAGTTTGAGTGATGGCTTCTCATCCAACTCACAACTGTTTGAAAAATATTTGATTTGAGGAATATCATTTAGACCCCCCCCCCATGCTGGACAGGAGTTTCAGCCCCAAATTATGGGATATCACATATGAAACTGGACACCTGGGAACCCTACCTAGGTACAGAATCATGAGGCCTTTGTGTCAATATCATGAGGCCTTGAAATAGGAGCATCTGCACTGCAGAATTAATGCAGTTTGACAGCACTTTAACTGCCATGGCTTGATGCTAGTTTTGTGAGATATTTAGCCTTCACTGTTACAGAACTCTAGTGCCACAACAAACTACAAATCCCAGGATTCCATAGCATTGAGCCATGGCAGTTAAAGCTGTCAAACTAAATTATTTTTGCAATGCAGATGTAGTCATGGGCAGTATTTCCTTATCTGGGGGGGGGGGG